AACAAAATAAACAATTAAGGAAATGTTGCTAAATAAAAAAGTACAACTGATCAAACCAGTTTAAAAACAATAGAAATAATTGCTGTGTCTGCTTATGTAGTAATTAAGTCAGTTATGTTTTAAAATAACTGGTTTTTCATGTAAAAAAGTTTTAAAAAAGTTAAATTTAAAATATATAGTGTAGATATATTATCAAGTGATATTCTCATTGAAAAATGGTACTACCAATTCACAACGGTACCTCTTTAAAACTCTAACTGAGTAAAAATATTTCGTCGTTTCTTTTGTTAAAAAGTGTTAGATTCTGACTATATTTTATTTATGTCTGCAGCATAAAGTCGCAATTATCACTTCTGAAAAACTGCACAATAATGCCAAAAAGCTGTCATCAATTTAAGACACAAAATTGTATATTTAACCCTTTTCCAGTTGGGCTGTTTTTATTTGATACAGGTGGAGGGGGGGGGGGACTCTACCTATAAATCCCCCCCTCTCTAAGATTTTTCCATTAGAGTTGAGATTGTGATGTCAGGAGTCCTATTTTTTAAGGCCAGCTTGCAATACTCATTGTTTAAAATGTTCAAAATCGAAACAATTCAATTTTTGACAAATTTTAACATAAACATGTTTATACGCTACCCTCTGCATAAAAAATTTACAAAATTGTTCTCAATTAAAGGGAGTGTTTGCGGAAAATTAAAAGGACTATCAGCTTAGTCGAAAAATATTCAATATGGTGATTGATATTAATCTTATTTCTATCTTTTGCGTCTTTAAGGAGAAAATTGTTAAAAACAAATTATGGCAAAGAACGTAGCGTCCACATACAAATTCAGAAAGTTGCAATATTTGAATCGGATCGTTTAAAAATTAATTTTATTCATATATCACAATCATCGATTTTTTTCGACGCATTCGTTTATAGTTGATATTTCATAATATTTTATATCTATTTATGAAAACATTCATTCCTGTTTCGAAGATGTTTGATAATGAAGACGACATTTTCATATTCTCTATGAATGGTGGATAATCCAGCGCCAGCCGTGAAAACAAGTTGTAAGCGAAATATTAATTAAAAAATTTTCTTTTTTAATATTATGAAATATCAACTTATACGAATGCGTAGAAAAAAATTGATGATTAAAGGTTATAATATTTGTTTGGAATTTAATTGATTTGTTTACGATCCAAGTTGAATATTGTAACTTTCTGAATTTGTATGTGGACCCTATATATGTTATTCGGTATGAGTTGTTTTAACAATTTTCTGCTTATAGACGCAATAGATAGAGGTAAGATTAGAGCAATCACCTTTCGAATATTTTTCGACGAAAGTCTTATATACCCCCTTTTATTTTTCGCGAACACCATGGAAACTTAAAGAGGTTTTCAAGGTATTGAGAAAATACTTTAAGGGGGGGATTTGTTGACACTCTCCCCCCCCCCCCTCCAACCGGGGTAGGGTTAATTTAGAATCTATATATTTAAGAGATGTATCATTACTAGATATTTCCATGCATAATGGTTTTCAGGCAGTTTATTGGCGTAGCAGAATTTAATGATATGTTGGAATACCACAAACTATGAAAATGCATAAAAACGATTAGAGTACTACAGACCATAAAATTAGTTGGAATTACTGAGATTATTTTGAATAATTTCTTGTTCAAAGTGGATTCATTTTTTTAGATTTTTTGTTATTATTAGTTTAAATCTACCATTCTTGTTTTATAAAGAGGATAAACTCGTAAATTTTGATACTAGAGGTCAAAAATCATATAAAGGCTTTGTACATTTAATGCCATGAATTCAGAATAGAATACCACTAAAACTAGGCGGATAAAAACAGGACCTAACACTGCTTTATATTTTTGCTGGTATTTCACTGTTTATAATCTTTTAATTTCTCTAAAAAAAAATTTAAATGCTTTTAAAATATCAAGTCATTTTATATCGATATTTCAAAAAAAAAGTGTTTAAAAATATTTTGGAATTTTTTATACTAATTTTTGAATAAGTTGAAAAATATAAAACTGCAAAATTGGGAAAAAAGACATTGTCAAATCAAAAATTTTAGATTTAAATTTTACAAAAAAATTATAAAAACTATTTGAAAGATTGCATGTTTAATAATAGCTACTAGCTGTAGTGTATACTGTACCCTTTCAGACACAATAAACGTTTCATAATAAATGAATTTAGTAAAGAGTTTAGTAAAAAAAACGATCCTTTTCACGATCAAACATTCACCATTTTATCCTATACGTAATATACGAATTCCCCGACATTAGATCGATCGATAGCCTTGCCCCCATCTGCACTGTATGCGCTGTATACACTGCTCACTTTAATGGGCTAAGGATGGGTTTTCTGTTCATATTCATCTGAGTTCAGTGTTAAAATCTCTGATGTATTTAGATTCTCTTCCTTCAAGTAAACTTCTCCCAAGGTCCAAACCTTCTCTAGTACACTAATTTTTAGATGGTAGAGTTCATGTCCAGGCAGGTTAAAATGTTCTCCTGCACTTTTCCCAAAATTTTAAATTATTGCATTGATAAGAAATGTTGATCAATGCATCTTTCTTATGCAAAAGAAACTAATCAATTGCTTAAATACTAATCTTTGTTAATTTCTGCATTTGTGAACTTACGGATCCCTGAAATAATTTTTTTTCAATACATGTTTTTGTCATTTAGTTTGTCCAATTGTTTTTTTGTTACATTCTGTTGATGTAAATTTTATTATTCTTTTGGACAATTTTTGACTTAAAAATATTTGACTTTTTTTGCATTTATGGCAAAAAAACTACAAGAATTTTTTTCAGTTATTTCATGAAAACTAAAGCTAAAAAACAAGAGCTGTTATGAGGTTAGATGTACAATACATGTCTAGTGCTACAAAAAGTATAAGTTAGTTAATGATGTAAAAGCCAATGGCTGAGACAATTCCAAGTCTCGACCCATTCTTAAAAACTGCAGATGCCCCTTTTCATAGAAACATAGAAACCCGCGAATTAATGTCTTCATGCTTCTGTAAAATAGAAACATTTTTCATTCCAGGGGGGGGCTCAGCAAGCATGGGGCCTTAAACCCCCTAATATCAGAAGATTTCAACAGTCATGGGGGGACTGCAGAGCCCCCCCCCCCTACTGACTACGCTTCTAGAAACATTTTAACCTTTAATTCTAAATATTTTATTCATCTTTCGTCCTCGACAGGAAATAATTTGTCAATATTTGCTTTTTTCAGCAATTTCAAGTTTTGTTCTATGTATATAACGGTCCATCGGACATATACAAAAACTAAATGCATTGAAGGGACTGTTCCTAGAGTTTACGTGGTAACCTGTCAATGGCGTTCTAATTTATTTAAGATTTAAAACCCCTCTCTAGTCTGTGCAGCTCACCGAAAAAAAATAGTTTACATTATACAGTTAAATATTTTAAATTCAAATTAAACAGTCTGCGTATATTGGTCTTGACTGGTACACAATTATACCATTTAAACCCTAGATAGTGAAAATGACACAGATACCCATAGTTTGCGAACTGAAAGCTTATAATTTCAATATGTGGAGTATGTCTAAAAGTGACTTGCAGAGACGATAAAGAAAAAAACCCTGATGATTCTTTATAATTGTTGCATAGATTAAGGTTTAAAGCGTACAGTTGCAAATCGGTCATAAGACTGGAATAGAATGTTGACACTCGACGCACAGTCCCTTTAATTGTAAAGACTAATTTTTCAATAACTTGAATTGAAATGGTTCAACCTTAAAATCAGAAGAAAAATGTTTAAAAGAGGGTGCATACATTTCATGCATTTCATGCATTTGGGCTGCATGCAGTGGAAATGCAATCCACGTTGTCTGGCTGCAAATTCATAGCGTGTTATAGTGCAATTTTACGAGGGGAGGGAAGTGTCTTTAGGGGTTTAAACATAAAAAAATTTTAAGTATTTTTATCAAAAATTTATATGATTAATTTGGTCGAATGTAATGATTTATTCAATTATAAACAATTTCTTTGTCCAAAAGATTGAACATTGTCTTGATATTTCTGCAAGATTTCGAACTTTTAATCTATCTATATATAAATTTGGCTTGTCTGTTTGTTTGTCTGTCTGTTTTTTGTTTGTATCCAATAAAACCTCACCCTACTCCGCGCCTAACTATTTTAGATTATTTACAATTATATTGAACTCTTTACTCAAATCCGCCAAAAACCGGTTTCAATTGAGCTCCGACTTAAATCTAAAAACATTAAATGTAATTTTAAGTGGAACCAACCATTTTTGAGTCGCGTCTCAAATTTAAGCCACGGCTCAAACTCTTGAAATACGGCCCCCCTCAGATTTATTTAACTTTGATGATATTTATTTTTGAGCTGTTCAGTTTGTTCTAATACATTTTCCATTATTACAAAAGATTAGAGTTACAATCATAGAGAATAGAATATATAGAGAGGAGTTTACTGGAAAAAAGTGTAAAACGGCCATTTTGTTGTACTGTTTCCATACTGCAGGTGTACTTCACATATTTATGCTATATAACCTGTTGGGCCCTGGAATATCATTTTATGGAAAATCTAAAATTATTGTTAAAAGAAAACCAAATTATGAAATAGGCTGGTTTCATAATTGACCAATGATCATTTCACATAGACTCCGTTATAACTATAAATCAAAAGATGTTTTTATTCACCTAATTCATTATGAAGTTTATTTAACAGTTTAAAAAAATTCGAAATTGAAATGGATAGTCTAGGGAACATACTGTATTAATGTACTCTACTGCATATAATTTTTGAACATTTACATGATTTGTACACTTTGAACTCCCTTTCAGGCTGAAAGGGACTGAAAAAATTCATACCGAGAGATTCTTTTAATTCCTCTCTATATATTCTATTCTCTATGAGTATAGATCTAGATATATCTGAATTCTGAAGAGTAGATTGTGTTGCAACGAGGATAAATAAACCAATTCTAAATGTTAGAAGCCTGGCTTCAAGTTTACTCAAGCCAACCTGAAATTAGGCAATGTTTTAAACGCACAACGTTTTGCGTCAACAGTCGACTTGAAGCGTCAGCGACGCAAGGTACTAGTACTTATACTTATCTCTTCATTATAACCCCTTCAGATCTTTCTTTAATTTTCGGAACCAATGATTTTAAACACAAGGATGAGGTTTTCAAATTTCAAGTCTAATAAAAAAGGTTTGGTACATGATTCATGGACGGCAACATTTCTAATGTAAATCATTTAAAATTAAAATTAAAAAGAGAGTTGAAAAACATTAATGAAAATTATATATAACAATTAACATGAAAATAATTCTGATTCTGAAATATTCAAAAACTATTAAAAAGTACAAAATAAGAATCCCATTAAACATATTTTTATGTACGTCCAAAATTTTATTTACCATAGATGATCAAAGCTAATATTCAAGAGTGCATTTTTTGTCCTTGCTTTAAACTTACAACTTTTTTAATTGTCCTAAAAAACTTGTTTTTTTAAAGGTTGCAAGAGTTGAATTTGGTGCCTGAGCTCTGCTAGGAGACCAGACTTGATAGATAGATAGATAGATAGTCAGCCAGTAATTTCAAAATCATAATAATGAAATTTTCAGGTAAATAATGTCCTTGTGCACAACATACAATATTGCTCTTCAAACCTCACATTAATTCATTTTATCTCCCATTCTGTTTTATGTTCACTAGATCTCACATTATGTTTTATACGTTCTCTAAATCTCAAATTTTGTTTTATGTTCTCTAAATCTCACATTATGTTTCATGTCTCTAAATGTCACATTACTTCTCTAGTTTACAGATGTAGGAAACTATGAGAACATGTTTACAGATGTAGGAAACTATGAGCGCAAGTAAAAAAATTGCCGATTTTGAAGGCTCATCCTTGACTGTTAACCCTGTTCAATTATTTTATACTTTTTAACATACAATGTTATTTTAGGAGTTCTTTTTGTCTGTGGATTAGTATGTGTGTCCGGGAGTCCCCAGGGATTCTTTGGAGGATTAGCAAACATCTTTGGTGGTGGAGGTCGAGGTCGCCCTGCGGTCGGTAGTGGAGGCCGAGGCGGAGGCGGAGGTGGATGTGGGGCCCGAGGTCCTAATCATAGTTTTGAGGGTAGAAGCTATCTAATCAGCTGGAGGGCTGGTTGCACTTCATTTACTCATGGTGAGGGAGCAGCTTTCTGTAGAAGCCAGGGCATGCAGCCGGTCAGCTTGGATACACCTTCCAAGGAGAGAGAGTTCACAGGTAAATAAAAAAGTTCTCATCAAACTTTTAAATAAGAAAGTGTTAATCTGCAACGCCTGAACATCATCTGCATCATCTTTATTATCTGTATCATAATCTATATAATCTGCTTTTTCTGTATCATTTGCAAAATTAGTTGTTGCACAGCAGTTGTGTTTACATGCAATAGCATAATTTACTCCATTATCTGCATTATCTTCATAATTTTTATCATCTTCATAATAGAATAGCACTTCATTTTTCTAAAATTGTGTATTGTTCAGGTCTGGTAGGACGTGAAGGTCAGAAGTACTTCTGGACAGGAGGAACCGTTAACCATGGTGGTAGACCTACTGTCAGCTGGCCTTCTGGTAGAACTACATCTTCAGGACTTTGGTCCAACACCGGAGGGTAAGTTCCAATTTTTAATTTAAATTACTAATAAAGAGCGGGTTAAATGTAAATTTTATTGAAAAGAGCAGTAGTTAAACTAATTCTAGCTAGAAATAATAAGTCCTGAATGTCCGAAATAGTTTTAACGCCAAATATATTTCTAGAGCTGGAAGACCACAGCCCGATAACAGAGAAGGAAATGAATTCTGTCTCGCTGTTCTCAACAACTTCTACAATGATGGAGTTCGCTTCCATGATGTATCCTGCCATCATCGTAAACCGGTTATCTGTGAAGCTTAAAAATCGGCTTAAGCCTGATCCAAACCAAATATTTCGGATGCAACGAGATTGAACCAGTTAAAGCCAGTCTAGTCAAAACTGGAGTTTATATCATAATTTAATATTTATTTATATTAGATTGGTAAAATAAAAATCTTTATCATTATTTCTTTTTTATTAAAGAAAATTTTTAACACAACCACAACTAACAATTTAACTCAACAGAACATATATTCCTGTATATTTGAAAATAAAGAATATATATCCCTGTATTTAATATAAAGAATTTATATCCCTGTATTGAATATAAAGAATATATATTCCTGTATTGAATATATAGAATAAATATCCCTGTATTGAATATAAAGAATATATATTACTGTATATTTGAATATAAAGAATATATATTACCATATATTTGAATATAAAGAATGTATATTCCTGCATTGAATATAAAGAATATATATCCCTGTATATTTGAATATAAAGAATATCCCTGTATTGAATATAAAGAATATATATCCCTATATTGAATATAAAGAATATATATCCCTGTATTGAATATAAAGAATATATATCCCTGTATTGGATATAAAGAATATATATCCCTGTATTGAATATAAAGAGTATATATCCCTGTATTGAATATAAAGAATATAAATTCCTGTATTAAATATATAGAATATATATCCCTGTATTGAATATAAAGAATATATATCCCTGTATTGAATATATAGAATATATATCCCTGTATTGCATATAAAGAATATATATCCCTGTATTGAATATAAAGAATATGTATCCCTGTATTGAATATAAAGAATATATATTCCTGTATATTTGAATATAAAGAATATATATTCCTGTATATTTGAATATAAAGAATATATATTCCTGTATATTTGAATATAAAGAATATATATCCCTGTGTTGAATATAAAGAATATATATTCCTGTATTGAATATAAAGAATACATATCCTTATATTGAATAAAAATGAAAAAGTATATTATTGAATATCCATGAATCAATTTAAAGTTAGAATAACCATAGTCAAAACTACTAAAGAAGAATATGTTTATATACTAAATGTCTGTTTACCATTTTAAAGAGTATTTTACTGTTTTTTAAACAACAAAAAAACATATTCAATATTATTCATTATCGTCTTTTTCACGTTTAATGAGACACACTATCTGTGTGGAGAAAGTATTAAGGAAAGCCTTCAGCTGAGTGGTTTAACTGTGTTTGTAAACTTTCTGCTATAACTGATCCTTGCTTGTAGTTTTTACAGAGAAAACACAGAGTAATCAGAAATCATAGTTATGCTACAAGGGAAACCCTAATAAAGTGAAATTCAATCTTAAACGGTTTTCCAAATCAGTCTTGGCTATTTTTAAGCGAAAAATAAATTCAAAGCAATAAAGAACATGTTTTTGTTCAAAATAATTTCTCTTCAGAAATCGTTCCGAAATTGAAAATGTCTTTCTATTCCAGGGGTCAATTCAATTACATCTAATTTCCTGATGGAATCAAGCTTGAAAATACATTTTGGAACGGAAATACACTTTTTATGTTATTTTGAAGTTTTTTTTGCATCATTTAATTTGAATACATCATCTGCATCAACACTCGCCTCTGATTAATCTGCATCATCTTTTCCATATACTTCAATTCTTGCATACCCATCATCGGCAATATCTTTATTATCTGTATCATCTCCACCATCTGTATCATCTGCATCATCTGTAAAATCTGCATCATCTTCATTTTCTGCATCATCTTCATTATCTGTATCATATTAATAACCTGCATTATTTTCATTATCTGTATCATCTTCATTATCTGCATCATCTTCATTATCTGTATCATATTCATAGCCTGCATTATTTTCATTATCTGCATCATCTTCATTTTCTGTATCATCTTCATTATCTGTATCATATTCATAATCTGCATTATTTTCATTATCTGTATCATCTTCATTTTTTGTATTATTTGCATCATAAGATGTTGTCCTGCAATTGTGTTAATACAACACCGTGACAAAAATGCGGAAATGAGATATATTTCAAATCCACTTCTGCTATATATAGATAAATAAACAATATATTATTATATATTACAAAATATTATGAATCATTAAAATTGTTTCAATAATCTATATAATTCGACAAATACGCACCTTTACATAAATAAATGTGTATTTAGATAAATTATGAACAATTTACTGAATAGTTAATTAAAATAACAAAAATATTTTATATAAACAATTTATTGAATAATTCAATTACTTTTCAGTTATAAATACATACAGTGTGAACCAGGAAACTCAAGACCCAAGTTATGAATTTAATGAACACAACAAAAGTGTAGTGTGCACATGTAAATTTACCCTAATTAGTGATTTAATTATTTACTAGTAAAACCAATTTCTATTGTTACAACTTCAAAAGACTTCAGTTTTCTATAATGTCGTCTTCCTATTTTTGGTTCTCACTATCCAGACATTGTTAATTGCACTTTTAGTTATCACAAATTATGTTTTAATTTCTTTAATTATTATTACTTCTTTATCAGAATAAGACTTTAATGACAACTTGCAATCTGCATCTTCGAATTAAATCAAAGAAATTATCTATTTTTTTCTTTTTTCTTTTTCTTTTTTCTTTTAATCTGATCTCTTTAGTTTAATCTAGAGCGAGCACCAGTTCAACAAGTTCTTCTGTTTGAGCGCCGGGTCTTCTATCTTCGTATTGTACAGGGTGTCCCAATAAACATGGGAATTGAGCGACGACTTGAATATCGTCTTTTATTTTCAAAAATTGATAAATGGCATAAAGTGATCAAAAAAAGATCAAAAGTCTAATGAGCTTTCCAAAATGTGGTCTACCTTCTTTGTATCTTTAAAATTGACGGAGTTATTTAACATTTATTTTTTAATAAACTGGAATCTGGACAACTTTTGTGATATTTCCGTCAATTTTGAAGGTAAAAAAAATGGAGGACCACATTTTGAAAATCCCATGACTTTTAGTTTTCAGTTGTAATTGTTTTAAGTGTGATAATACAAAATCATATTTACGAAATAATCCCGCTTGGAACAAAGGCGACGTAGAAGTCGTCATTTATTTCCCATGTTTATTTGGACACCCTGTACAATATTTAAACTAGTATTTTAAAGAGAAAATTGACAATTTCTTTTATTAGTTTAAATCCCCTTTATATTTCTTAAATCATATTGTAAATATTTCACCCCCTCCTATCTTTCTTTTTGTTTAGACACTGACCCTANCGTGCATTTATGTTGAAACTCTGATCCTCTTCCTGATAAAGCGCTGGGTTTGCTCCCTTCCCCATTACCATGAACCACTAGTGCTCCCTCCCCACTCAAAATTACTCCCCCCCTTTCCCAACAAGGAAGTGCTGAGCATTAAACACTAAAACTGCAATCTTGCCTGTACATAAAATCCATTTACATACATTTAATCTCTTCCTGGATACCACAAATGCAACTCATGCAATCATGAGCTGGTTTAAGGGTGGGGGGCACAACATCATCCCCCCCCCTCAGAAAAGTGAAATATTATATTGTTTTATACTATACTAACTGAAGTGCCCGGCTTTGCCCGCGAAATACAAAAAATCGATTTTTGTTTAGCCTATGTTACCTAAGGTACCCATGGGTTTCCTAAAAAAAATGTCAGTCAATTCGGTCCAGCCATTTGGCCAGCTGTACCCCTTCATCACTCCCCACCTTTCTGATGATTAACCTGCATTTTATGTTAGTTAGTGATCTTTGGGTCGTCATTAATATGTAATTCTTTGTGGCAAACTTTGTTTCCAAAATTACAGAATCCACGACATTTTAAATCATTAATAATGTTTTGAGTTCTTTATAATTTCAGAGATAGTTTAAACTTAAAATACATTATTTCACCGAAAGAGTAAAATTCTGGAAAAAATGTCCGATACTCCTGAATCTGAGACTGATCAAGGTCTATCTAAATTTCATTTGATAATTTCATGTTTTTTTTTTAATTTGCTTAATCTATGCATGTGTAACTTATAATATTTGGGTAAACATTTAAGTTCACAATGAATTTATAAAAAAGGGTTTCCGGGGTTTCAAATACGGTTTTTAATATTAAAATTTATTTATTATACTTTGAAAAAAAGGATAAAAATATTTACTTAAATTTTCAGAAATCTTACTTGGAGTCTCCTACCCTGAGAACAAACCACCTGACGAGGCTAAAATGGAACTTATAATTCACCCTCTTCTTCCGAATCCTGCAGTTAACCCATTAAGCCCGAAGTCTGAAGTCAACCCTTTCAGCCCGAAGTCTGAAGTTAACCCTACAAGTCCAGGGCCTCCCCTGCAAGGATCCTGCAGGTTCTCTTGCTTTCAAGCATTTTGAAATATTAGAAAGCTTATTAATCTTGAATGAAATGCTGTTGTCGATTTTAAAAGCGAAAATGATGGATATCTCATTAATTCCTGATCAGACAAAGCTTTGAAAAGTACTCTTGTGAGTCGGACATTGTCACGTAAAATGATTAAGTCAACACTCTACACTAGTCTCTATATATATTGTACTCGTAAATATAACTTTAAATATTTTTCGTGAACGTTTGAGAATGAAAAAACCATCTAAAACCTTTTAATCAAATTGAATGTTCATCAGATTCATCAAAAATACTATTTAATTCCTATATTTTTAAGATTAACGCTGACTGTGCTGTGCTTTTTTGGAATTTATCATCTTATGGCGCTGAGGTGACTTAATCCTTTTCTGATTAATTCGTTCACTCCGCTCTTTAATAAGGAAGTATAGTATAGATGCATTTAATATGCATCTAGCTCATTTGAAGGACCGGAAACCTGGGACTAGTTGTACTTACAGTAAACACATACAGACTGTAAACACGGCTAAATCATCTTCTTAATTAATTGTGAGATTATTGGGATTTTTGGACATAGTTTAATAAAAATACAGATAGAACACTAGATGTCGTCTTTTCAAGATTTAGGGGTTTTTTGTTCACAATAACCATGTATATCTATATGATAAAGAAGTAATCTCTGTGTGTTTGTTTTGAATGTCCGATCATAACTCAAGAACCCCTTCACCGAATTGCCTTAGTTTTGATTGGAGAATTCTGTAGAACCACAGGAATGTTCTTAGCTAGGTTTAAAAAGATGAATATGTTGACTCTTGTAATAAAAACTTTGTTTAAGGTAAAACTGGGTTCCCAAGCTGGTTTAAAAATAAGTGTGCTTTTAAATTATTGTGCAAAATTCCCTAAAACAATGATTGTTTAGATTTAACATCAGTATGGGAATTGTATGCATGTCTTCTGATCCAACGGACTCGCAGGAAATTATAATTTTTTTATTATTATCCTTTTAAAACATAATTGCGCTATAAAAGGCGCCCAAATAAACTACACTGTTCACCTAAACTGTACAACTACACTGTACAACTACACTGTACAACTACACTGTACAACTACACTGTACAAATACACTGTACAATTACACTGTACAACTACACTGTACAATTACACTGTACAACTACACTGTACAACTACGCTGTACAACTACACTGTACAACTACACGGTACAACTATACTGTACAACTACAATGTACAACTACACTGTAGAACTACACTGTACAACTACACGGTACAACTACACGGTACAACTATACTGTAAAACTATACACTGTACAGCTAAACTGTACAACTACACTGTACAACTACACTATACAACTACACTGTACAACTACACTGTACAACTTCACTGTACAACTACACTGTACTACTACACTGTACAACAACACTTTACAACTACACAGTACAACTATAATGTACAACTACACTGTACAACTACANAACTATACTGTACAACTACACTGTACAACTACACTGTACAACTACACTGTTCAACTACACTGTACAACTACACTGTACAACTACGCGGTACAACTACACTGTACAACTACACGGTACAACTACACGATACAACTATACAGTACAACTACAATGTACAACTACACTGTACAACTACACTGTACAACTACACGGTACAACTACACGGCACAACTATACTGTACAACTACAATGTACAGCTACACTGTACAACTACACTGTACAACTACACTTGTACAACTACACTGTACAACTACACTGTACAACTACACTGTACAACTACACTGTACTACTACACTGTACAACTACACTGTACAACTACACAGTACAACTACACTGTACAACTATACGGTACAACAAAACTGTAAAACTACACTGTACAACTACACGGTACAACTACACTGTACTACTACACTGTACAACTACACTGTACAACTACACTGTACAACTACACTGTACAACTATACGGTACAACTATACTGTAAAACTACACTGTACAACTACACGGTACAACTACACTGTACAGCTACACTGTACAACTACACTGTACAATTACACTGTACAACTACACGGTACAACTACACGGTACAACCACACGGTACAACTACACTGTACAGCTACACTGTACAACTACACTGTACAATTACACTGTACAACTACACTGTACAACTACACTGTACATCTACAATGTACAACTACACTGTTCAACTACACTGTACAACTACACTGTACAACTACACTGTACAACTACACTGTACACCTACACTGTACAACTGCACTGTACAACTACACTGTACAACTACAATGTACAACTACACTGTACAACTACAATGTACAACTACACTGTACAACTACACTGTTCAACTACACTGTACAACTACACTATTATTGAAAAAATCAAAGGTCTACAACATCAAGTTGCAAAAGTTAGAAAATCATGGTATGTTGCAAAAACTGAAATCCCTTACTCGATAAATAAAATTTTTTAGATATTTTTAGAATTGTAAATTTGAGCCAAAAATTAGACCCATTTATTTATTTATTATGTAGACCCTCCTTGTTCTAAAAACACCCTGTACAAACCATAGGTAGACCAAATTTCTGGAATCCAAAAATTAGGGCTTTATTTGATATTCATTGTTTTCAGTACATTTCTATTACAGTGAGAACCATCAGAAAACATTGGAATAGAAAGACGACATTTAAGCAATAATTCAGTGCATTTGATGTTGTTACAAAGCAAATAGTTTTACCAGTATTTTCCTAGCAATTACATAGAAACTAATAAAGTAAATTTTGTCTGTGCACACTGCACAGTTGTTGTGTCTCATACGTTCATTAAACTATCTAAAGTATTAACTGGAGTCTAAACGTCGTCTTCCTATTCCAGAGTTTTCTAGTTTTAAGATTTAAGATTAAAAGTCACGTGACCTGATCTAAGATGATTTAAGATTAGTCACTGAATTCCCGTGCTTTTTGGAACTCCCTGATACTTTGGAAATTTATTGGATTTAAAATCAATTTTTCTGACAACAGACATAAAAAATGACACATTAAGAAAGTTTTACTTGATATGCTTAAGAATGAACATATATATTTTGAAAAAGACCATTTTTTTCTTAAAGGGAGTGTTCGCGAAAAATGAACAGTGACGCAACAGATAGACTTAAGATTAGTAGCGATCAGAAGCGATTATTTATCGCCGTAAGCCTATACCCCCTTTCATTTTTCGCGAACACTCCCTTTAACAAAAAAACAATTTATCTTTGGTTTTTTAATTTTTGCTTTAAAATTATTTGCCTTCAGAGATCTGGTTCCATCTGTAATGCAGACGAGGAAAAAAGGGGTAATTGTAGAATTGATTGATTGACTGTAAATTTTTATACAATTTTTTTTTCAAGGTTTATTGTTTTCAGAATGTTTGATGGATCTGCAGGAATCAAATTCAACAGGAAGAAAATAAAATAAATTTTTATCAAAATTTTAAAATCAAATTTGATCTTTTAAAGGGACTGTAAGCAAAATTTCGAGTACGACCCTCCATGGAATGATGACAATTCCCGTTTAACAAGTACAACAGTACTCTTGAAACCATAAACACAAAATGCATAAGATACCGTCATTTTTCTGAAACTAAGTGTTTAAATTTGATAATTTCTCCATTAGTTTTTAGAAACAAGAAATGTGCAAGTCACTCTCGCAGAGAAACCGAAAATGAAATTGACATCTTTGAATGAAGGGTCACATGAAATTATAGGCTTACAGTTCGTTTCCAAAAAAATTGTCAATTAACGTTACTTAGTACTGTGAGACTATGGAGACCCATAACACTGTGGGAAATCAAACTGACTTTTAGACTTAAGATTTGAACTTAAATAGTCCAATGAACATGAATGATGAAACATGCTTGTTAATTATAAGAGTGTCAAATGTCGTCTTTTAAATTATATGGGTCACACTGTATGAACTAAACTTTTAGTAATTTAGTTATTTAGTAATTTCCAAGGTACTAATGCAAGGAAAGTTATCTCAGAGGTGTACGCTTTTTTTGTACTGCAGTGCACTGTCTTTGGGCGGAAAAGTGAACACAAGACGGATGTCACAGCCTGACATGGAATCAATTTTCACAAAAATAATCTTTGAAATATTCTGGTCATAGGAAACTATTACGTGAATTTTCAAAATTATCAAAATTAAATGCTTTTAACTTCCTCGGATACCAGTCGAACACTGATGCATTTATTCTTGTTTACAAATTCCGCCCAGAGGTTTCAATATGTACGCAGAGTATACGCGACCTTGGTAATTTCAATTAAACTCTGCTTTATAGCACACACAACCGGTTCCATAGTTCAATTAAAAAATTGTTTTGAATCTTAGGGTTTGATGATTCCTCTCAAACATTGGAGTTTTCATGGTCTAAAACTTTACAGGGAACAGCTTTCATTTTAAATATTTTCTGTAACTCTTTAATACAGGGTGTCTCAAAAAACATGGGAATTCGGTGACGAATTTGATATCGTCTTTTTAAATGATTCTTTGATTTAGTATAGTGATACCTTACTGAGAAAGCTGTAATCCGTAAGATTTTCGTCTGCTATGTTTACAATTTGTTTGTTTGTTTTGACTTTTGACTGCATACGGCCGGCCGGTTGTACTTAGAAAAACAATAAAAATACAGTTTACAGACAGAGTAAACTTGTCCGTCTTCACTGTTCATCTTGCGGAGACATTAAAATCCCATTTTTACAGCCATTTACCGTTTTAATAAAATTAGGTATTAAAATGTCGTCATTCACTCATATCAAAGACGATATCGAATTCTTCACTGAATTTCCATGTTTATTGGGACACCCTGTATATAAAGAGACTGTGAACGTACTTCAAACCAATCCTCTAGTTAAAACGTTACATTTTCGATTTACTACGGTACCCTTTAAACCCTTTAAACCTGTGCAAAAATAATGGACAATCCCTTGTTTTTCTTTATAAAGGTGTCCTTGGAATTTATGAAGCGAACAAGGAAAGAAATTCTCTATATTCCCTTGAAATTCATTTATTCAATAAAATTCAATTTATTTATTCAAATATTGGTTCCTCAAAAATATATCTTTGATATTTGTTTAGCATCATTAATAATGATTAGACAAATATCTTTTTTAGTCTTACTCATAACCGAGTTTACAGATTTGTAAAAAATATAAATTTCGAATTTACTTTTATTAAAGGGACTAAAGACAAAATTTTAAGTGACCCTTTGTTTCCAGAATAGCATGTCAATTCTTAAAAACGTTGAATGATCAATAATGACTGAGACATCCATGTTTTTAACTTTCAAAATAAATCATTATATAGAGACTAGCGCTTTTCTGTTTCAAAAACAATATGGATGAAAATGTTAAAATCAACCATTTTTTCCAAATAAGAAAACCGACAATATCTTTCACATTATTGATCAGATAAAGGTTTAAAAGGGTATTGTTGTGAATTGGAAAATCAACTGATATTACAGTTCAAAGAACTTTATTTGTAATTTTTAATTGGATTTTTGAACATTTTTAAAAATATATCAAATTTCTTATAAATATGTTAAGCCTATTTCTCAAACATCAACATCAACATCAACTCTAAGCCAGAGTCGCCATTTTTCCAAAATAAAAAATAAATATTTTTTGGAGAGTTTTTGAAAGCTGGGTTTATAGGGAAGTATCCTCAGTTCATTCTACTATGGATATATTATAACACAGGTCAGCTGCACCCTAGGCCGCCGTTTTAGTTTTAAGTCCCGAGTCTGAATCCATTAGTTTTGAGTCTAAATCGATTGTCTTGAGTCTAAATCCGCCAGTCTTGAGTCTAAATCTTTTAGTCTCGAGCGTAAATATGTTATTCTCGAGTCTAAATCCGTTAGTCTCGAGTTTTAATACGTTAGTTTCGAGTCTTAATTTGTTGGTTTCAAGTCTAAATCTGTAAAGTCTTGAGTCTAAATCGGTTAGTCTCGAGTCATTAGAAGATTCATTAGGCTCAACTCTATCAAAGTTAATTCCATTCCAAGATATCTTAAGAATCTTCTTTTTAGTTTGTTAAATTTTTTGAAATTTAGTTTAAATCTTGCTCAAATTTTTTCTTGTTTAAAGTAAAGGCTTAAATTTCCGATATCTTTAATCAACCCAAATGGTTTTAGCTTTTTGAAATTATTTCATTGATATAATTATAAAGTTTTACTCTTCTTTCCGTTCGACTAAAAACATGTATAATTGTACAAATTCATTGACAACGTAATTACGTACATGAAAACTGTACAGTAATATAATACAGGGTGTCCTAAGAAACATGACAGTTGGTGAATAGTTTTGAATGTCTTCTTCCATAAACTGTATGAGATGTTAAAGACTTTTTGCAGTTTATTTACTCTTAAAAATCTTTTACTCAAATATATTTTACTTTGAAATCAATTTTACTATTCTATGACTGCCATGAAATATTTTTATTATTCTCTGTGGTAACAAACAACTTAACAAATTATTGAAGAAGACATTTTCAACTATTCACCAACTGTCATGTGGGACACCCTGTATATGGCAGGTGGTAGGAGGGTATACCAGTGATAGATGGGGAGGAAGAACTGTACTATTGTACGGGATGTTTATTCTGAGTCTAAGTTAGTATTCAGGGTTATCCACAAAGGATGAGACTTAATAGACGACTGTAAGAAATGTTTACTGTCTGTTTCCTAATACTGATGGTTCTCAGCAAGACTGCAACTGCAGTTAACATGTTAACTTGCTTTGTTCTGTCAATAAATAAATAAGCATCTAAGCGACTATATTTAAGGCAAAATACTTGGTCTGACCTTGAAATTATCATATTTAAAAAGTTTCAGGTCGTCTTTACAGTCTCATTCTAATTGTGGGTAACCCTGCAGATTTTTATTTCATACTCAGTATTGTGAAACATGCTTCCAATGAAGTATCTAACAGAGAATACGAATAAAGGGAAGGGAAATGGCGCTGGTCTGGCATGAGAAAGCCAGTCACACTGCTATGCAGACGAGTTCGATTACATACGCACACTCTTTTTGTACAGACACACAACATGACTACAGTCAAGGAAATTGCAGAACAATGTCGTCAATTATAATTAAGCATAAATGACGACTAGTTTATTGTAAACTTTAATCATATTATATTCTTTGCATGAAAATTTGACTTATAGTGTTGACTTAAAAATATAAATAATATATTTATACATGTATTTTAAACCTATTTTTAAGGAAACAATTAACAATAAACAAATGTACTCTCCTAGACTGTACAAATACCGAGATTCGTATGTACTGTATACACCTACAGTACACGCCTTTGGTTCGGTATTACTTACACACACTGTTTTGGTACAGACACACATACAAAAAGTTTCCGCCCCCTGTTATCTAAGCTTTTCTCTGTAAGACCGTTGTATATTGTATAAGACACAATAAAAAGAATTTTAATAGCACGGTATTATTAGTAGCTTAAAGCTGTAAAAATGGGCCTGAACATTTTCTGAGTTATTTTAGTCATAAATTACAAAATCTTCAACAACATTTAAAATTTGTGTATCTTTCGACCTAAACAAATCCGCTACACTAAACTTCTGACCTACTCGCTCGTTGTTGTGCAGCACATAGTTGGAAACGTTATGGCCACCCGCGGGCCGCGCTACATTTCAGTGTCACCGACATGCCGGATGTCGAACGTCAAAAGTCCAGAATTATTTACCTGACATCTTCGCCATCGGAACATAGTCGGTTTAAAACTTTTCTGGGTAACCTAACCTGATCCTCAAAATATACAAATTAGTCTGTCCTAGCCGCAACACTGTGTCTTAACTTAACCTGATTCTTAAACAATACTAAATAAACAGCAGTCGTAGGTCGGATATTGCAATTGGTCAGAAGTTCAATAGTGGAAATGTTTCGTATATACGATGTAACATTACTTCCATACTTTTACATTGACCCTTTTCTAGGCACCCTGTTTATTCCTGTAGCAGCCAGAATCCATCCTTATTTATTAGTCGGGATCAGGATTATTCAGGTCAATTATTTTAATGGACTGTTCTTGTCATTTCAAGTGACCCCAAGTTTCTTTACTGATTTACAACGGTACCCTTTAACCTTTTTCTGATCAATAGTGTGAAAGGCCATCGTTTTAAAGTATTTAATTAGGAAAATATCTAGTAGTATCTTGTAGTATATTTTATAAAAAAATACCATTTTTGTATAAATAATACATTTCGAAAAGTTTATTTGCAAAGAATTTCTTCTGGAATGTATTAGTAGCTTAAATATTCCAATCCTCGTACATCCTTGAAATCTGATTTTAAAGAGCAACCATCATTTAAACTAGTCATTTTTTAAAAAGAAAAAACAAATGTTATTGATCAGACATAGCTTCTGTAGCTACAGTTGGGAATCGGACATGCCACCTTAAACCTAATTATTAAACCTGTTTTTATTAAACCTAATTATTAAACCTATTTTTATTAAACCTAATTAATAAACCTATTTTTATTAAATCTAATTATTAAACCTATTTTTATTAAACCTAATTATTAACTCTATAATAATTAAACATAATTTGTTAACCTAATAATTTAATTGATTTCAGGGGCTGGCATCTGGCTTTGCATTTCCCAGGTACTGGAGATGACTATTGATGTTAAAATTTTTCAATTTATTAACGAGTGCCTAGTCCTGAAAAAAATATGGCTGAATAAGAATTGAATTCTATGTTGATCGAATGTCACTATCTTAATTATATTTAACGTTGATAAATTTTTATGAACCCCTAATATAAATCAATTTGATATATTTTGATCACAAAAAAATTTAGAAAATCACTTTCAAATTTATGGAATTGTTTCCGTTTAAAAATTCGAAAAATTAAAAACGCTTTAAATCAGTTTCTAATTCTCAGAAATAAGATTAGTGACGAATATATTATCATAACCCCAATCATAATTTATGAAGAATCCTTTCATTTACTATTTTTCCCAGTGTTTACAATATTTTTACTGCCTGGAGTCATCCAACAGAGAAAGCAACTCTGATGTCAATCAGCTTTGCAGGTAAACTCTTAAATAAATAAAATTTACTCCAGAAATGGAATTATTTGAAGAACAATATTTTACTGAGCAATATTTTTAAGGTGACAAGAATTAAATAAAGACCAATCCAAGGTACTAATGCAAGGAAAGTTAATTGCGGTCGCGTATACTCTGGGTACATATTAAAACCAGTTCTCTCTGGGCGGAATTTGTAAACAAGAACAGATGCATCAGTGTTCGTCTAGTATCCGAGGAAGATAAAGGCATTAAATTTTGATCATTTTGAAAATTCACATAAAAGTTTCTTATGACCAGAATAGTTCATAGATTATTTTTGTGAAAATTGATTCCATGTCAGGCTGTGACATCCGTCTTGTGTTTACCTTTCCGCCAAAAGACAGTACACTGCAGTACAAAAAATGCGTACACTTCTGAAATAACTTTCCTTGCATTAGTACCTTGGACCAATCTAACTTTAAACATCTCTCTACAGAACTCATGTACGCCGCATGTTCTCAATGACATAAGAACAGCCAAGTTCACAACTGACCCACAAAATCTATTGGAATATATTTCAAACATCTCTCTACATTAATAAATGTTAAGTTGAGAAATGTTGTCTTATGCGCAATCTATCTTTATCTATGGGTAAACCCCATAAACAGATAAACAGTGGATCCCATAAAACTATGGAATAGTGAGACGACATTTAAGCCATCTCATGCGTATTTGAGAAAGCAAATAGTTTTAGCAGTAGTTTAATAATTAACTTTTGACCGGATGGAAATTGAGCATAAAAGACCCCGGCCCAGGGAGCAAGGAATAGAAGTTAGATATAACTGACGCGGTTCACCCTACCATATGATTATACATGCTTTGCAGACGGTACTCCTTTTGTATAAGAAATATTCAGAATAGGTTATTGTATACGCGGTAATTGTACATCAGACAAATACTTCTTATACAAATGGAGTACCGTCTGCAAAGCATGTATAATCATATGGTAGGGCGAACCGCGTCAGTTATATCTATCTCCCTTCTATTCCTTACTCCCTGCCCCGGCCACTCAAGGAATTAATTTGGACTTTTTCTGATTTTCAGGGATAAATCGCGATTTCTGTCTTTAAAATCGACCTAATAATAAGCCAAACTCCGACAAAATACAAATAAAGAAATAGTACAAATGATAAAGGTATAAAAGCTGAATCCTTGGATATTTCAAACTATCATTTTATATGATCAAATAATCTGAGTTTAAAATATCAAATGTTTAACCCATGGAGTTTAGAAAATTTGAGTTTTTGTCAAAGACTCAATCCCTTTGATGAAAAAGGAAGAGATAGATTTCGATCTCTTCTGCACACAAATCTGCATAGCAACCGCAATTAGAAATCATAAACGTTCATGCAGAAATGTACATCATATTTACGGTGTTTCACGTTCATTGGAATATTTAAAATCATAAATTGAGTCCAATAGTCGTCTTTATATTCCACAGTTTCATGGTTCTATATTTTGTCAGGTATTCCTACGGCAACGGTTACTATATATCCCGTTGTTTCCTGGTTTTGTGAGTCTGGAATACTTGGTGGCTGGCCTATGGCCTTCTATCTACCCGGAACTACAGGTAAACTCAACAAATTTTTTAAAACACATCCTGAAGGGACTGGTGACCTAGTTTATTCAAGAGTTACATGCTCGATTCTCAAGAATATCCCTTAGACCTTGAGGCAAGTAAAAAATAGGAAGATATGTCGTCGTTTTTCTGAACAAAGATTAATTCTGTCAATTTACTTGCGGGCTTCCATATCCTGCAGAACTTGTATTTTAGAGAAACGACAGTTTTGAATTTTCAGATTTCAAAAGTTAAGATATCGATGGAAGTATTTTTTGCCCGCCACGCCTGATCGAAACATTTTAATTTTTAGCAAAAAGACCCTCTAGACAATTTTGTAGATATGAGAGGGGGGAATGTGTAATTTTCAATAAATTCTGTGCTTACTTTAAGGTTAGGTTTGGTGTATTTATTGTTTAGGTTTGGTTTGGTGTATTTATTGATCAGGTTTGGTTTGGTGTATTTTTGTTCAGGTTTGGTTTGGTGTATACTGTTTAGTCAGCTGATCTACAATACACCTGAAGAACATCCAAGAATATCGTCTGGAGAGTTACTCTACCTTGAAAAGGTTCATTTATTAAAGAAACAACAAACTTATAATGTTTTGTACAAGGTGTTTCTATATACATGACAGTTGAGATTTAAAGTTTGTCTTTGATGTTAGTTATAAAGGATGAGACTGTAAAGACGACCTGAAACTTACACAGTATCGCTATCTCAAGGTTAAATTAAGTAATCACTGAATAGTGTCTCTTAATGGCTTCTCTAATGTATTGGCATTGAAAGAAAGAAATATTTCCATAATGCGGTGAACCTCCTGAAAAGCTCATAAGTTATGTCAATAATCAAAGACAACCTTTAGTTTGTCTCTCTGTCATGTCTGTACTCTCTGAACAGTTTACATTAATTTAAAAAATCTTGTATTGTATACAATTGTAAAGCACTTCGATAAATTGTTTTTAGCTCTAAATTTTACTTCTTCTGAATTGCAGGAATTTCCTAAATTATATCTTTGCAACCTAATGGTTTAAACCTTTTTTATAACAACCTTAGATTATTTGACCAAACAGAATTTATATTTTGAAATATCTAAGGTTTACGACATTGCATGGGTTGAAAAAATCAGAGTTTGTGTCAATGACTCAATTTTATTTTGTGTAGATTTCGATAAAAAAAATAGTGTTTGATTGGAAAAATCAAAATTTAGAATTTGAATTTTTCATAACCCAACAAAATTGTAAAAGTTGCTTACCACATTCATATACAGGAGAAAATGTAGTGGATTCTAACAACCTATTATATTTTAATTGAATAAAAAATATTTTCTAAACAATCTTTTTTTGGAAAATATATTTTATGTGTTTAAAGAAAAGTTTTAATCCAAATATTTTTAAAATGATACAAACTATCATACAACATGATATTCAATATTTGTCATTCATTCGTTTATATGATAATATTAACTAAATTTTTTGTAATGATTTGGCGAAACAACATATAAAAACATAATTACTGAATCAATTCCGTACCATCGTTTCTGAAGTCTCATCCTAGTGTGTGGCCCTGTATCTGTAAAGCCAATTGGCTTGCTTCTAATTTACCGCTGCATAAACATGCAATCATCTTAATTTTTCATATTTGTGTTTAATACATAATTATTGTATGAAAAAAAAGTTTTTTCAAATTGTTTGTCAAATAATCATGGTTTCTCTGGATTTCGGCTCGACTTAAAGAGTTAAGCCCAATGAAAATAAAACCGACTTTGATTGGTTTTAGTGGAGAATAAGACTCAATGTTGCGTCTTGTTCTAATAAAAACTGGGAATGCGCTCAGAGCTGGGAACTTTTGAATGGTGGATATCGGGATTAATGCTTGATCCTCTCTTTTTGATAATCTCCAGATTAACATAATCTTGCAAGATTATCTTAAAAGTGTATGAAAAACGATAAAATTCAAATTAATATTTAATCATCTGAGAAACTGTAGCAGCCAAACAGAGAAAAGCGGGCAACCAATGAGAGAACAGAAATATTCTCATTGTAGAAAATAATTAACGGATATCCAAGGAGAGAGAAAAAGAGTGGATTAAGGACTAAAATGAAAAGTTTCCACAGTGGATATTCGGATTAAGAAGTCAGAATTAAAGTTTATCCATTCTAAAGTTTTCAGCGGTGGTTTTTTAAATTCAACTCTGTGGAAAATAGATGCAGCTTTAATCCGAAAGCTCAAGCCGTAAATAAGGTCCAACGACAGCTTAGACCCGAGCCGTATTTCCCCGAATTTTTTAAATTGCGGGCTCTGTTGAATAAGAGTCACGATAAAAAATAACTGTCGGCAAGTTTTAAGTCAATTCTTTTATTAGGGAGAGAAACAAGATGTAGTTCTGACTAGGCACCGTGTACCTTGGAAACTAATTTTAAGGCAAATATAGATTTAAAACTTTTAGCAGTTGTTTATATGCTTGACAACCCTTCTCAACAAAAAATAAAAGCTGAATTAACGGGACAGACCGGATATGTGGACAAATTCTTTAAAATTCATTTGAGACATATAGAAATGTTTTAGATCTGTAAATCCTGAGTTGTTAAAAAACAGGTTGAGAAAATAAAAATTAATCTTATTATCGAAAATAAGTAATCTTATTTAGTTATTAGTTTCTATAAATCTCTTATTATTTACAAATATTTTCTGCAGAATTTCTGGAATTTTTATTGAAAAGACGACATTTGAAGAATTTTTAGAAATTTACGAATAGATTCATAGAACTAAGAATTCAATATAAGGATGAAAACGAAATAATTGATTCTAGCATTGATTTATTGACAAATTTCTTTTGAGAACTTGCCTATTGAAAGCTGGATATTATAAAAATTCCATGAAGTGTGATAAATTCAAGGTGTAGATGAAAAACTTTGTGGTTTGTAAAGGAACTTTAATTTTAAGTTGCCCTCCATGTAACGATGGCAAGCCCGATTCACAGTGGTACCCTTAGAGGCTTTATCTGATCCAAATTGGGAAAACTGATTGTTTTTAATTGCAATAAGCATATAGGAGTTGTAAGAGTAAACATCTTTATACATACAGGGTGTCCCACGAAACATGACAGTATGCAGGACGACTTGAATGTCGTCTTGATTTTTGATATAATTTGCTGCGTTCATTTGTCAACCTAATTTTAGAAGAAAATTTCTAGAGATAATAATCACAAAATTTCCCTTGTCCTGTCATTTCCAAAATGTGGTCTGCCTTTTTTGTGCTTTCAATATTGCCCGAGATATGAAGAATTTCGTTCAGATTTCGACAATTTTGCTTTTATTTAACAAAATTGAAATCTGAACCAAACTCTTTATATCTCCAGTAATATTGAAAGCACAAAAAACGCAGACCACTTTTTGGAAATGCCAGGGCTAGGAGAATTATGTGATAATTGTTTCAAGAATCATGCATGTTAAAGTAGATAGAAGACTAAATGTCACAAATAAATTCAAATACCAAAGACGACTTTCAAGTCGTCTTGCTATTGTCATGTTTCGTGGGACACCCTGTAGAAGAACAACAATATCTTCCATATTATTGATTAAATAAAGGCTTCAAGATACCGTTGTGAATCGGGCATTGCAATCTTTCCATGGAAGGTAACATGAAATAACAATATCTGTCCCTTTAATAAATAGATATTTTTAGCTATACAAAGTGTCCCAATAAACATGGGAATTAAATGACGCCTGCTATATCGTCTTTTTTCTTAATGGGATTATTTCGTAAATAGAATTTAGAAGTATTACAGTTAAAACATTTAACTCCGAAAACTACTAGTCCCGGGATTTCCAAAATGTAATCTACCTTTTTTTCACCTTCAAAAAAGAATGAGATACTACGAAATGTGTCCAGATTCCATATTAATCAAAAAAAATGTTTAATATCTCCGTCAATTTTAAAGATACAAAGAAGGTAGACCACATTTTGAAAACCTCATTAGACTTTCAATTTTTTTGATACACTTCGTGTCATTTATCAACTATCGGAAATCAAAGACGATATTCAAGTCGTCTTTCAATTCCCATGTTTATTGGAACACCCTGTATTTCCTATTTTGAAAGAAGATTTTTTATTTCTAGAAGTCGAGCAGTTCATTGTCTATGGATTACCCATCTTTGCTCTTCCTTTGGTTACTATCTCATCATCATTAATATTTCATTATTCATCAGAGAAGCTCTCAACTTTAGTGTTATCTACGTAAGTATAGAGATGGGCCTGTTCCACTTTTTGTCATTTCGTTCGTTCATCGTTTCGCGAATGACCCATTTTGTTCGTTTTTTTGTTTCATTCGTTCAACGATTGATTTCTTTCGTGTTCAAAAAAATCGTTAATTTTCCATCTATTTCGTTTTCCTTGCAATTTTAAAACTTTTTGTAGAACTTTTTTTTTGTCTTTTTAGGGCTTCTTTTTCAGAAACACCGTTCTTTGTTTAATCTTAAAAATGTGATTATAGATTAAATTTGCTAAAATAATAAATACTTTTTAGAATGGATTTCTTTCCATGCTTCCCTCCTTAGGAATGCTAATTTTTACTTGCACAGGTATAATTGATAAAAAATTCAATATTTTTACCTAAAATGGTTTTAAATCATTGTAGTTTTCACTTATTCGAATCAAACATTAAAGAATTTTTCTTCTAAAACATAATTTTATCCATTTTTATGTGCTGAAGTGCCCGGCATTGTCCGTGGAAGAAAAAATAAGAATTTAAAAAAATAAAATTTTGTATTTTGAGAAAACATTTTAGAATTTTGAGAACTTTTTTATCCTATGTTACCCCCAGGATACCCATTGGTTCCCGCAAAAAAATGTCAGCCAATTTGGTCCAGCCGTTTGGCCAGCTATAACTAACATATGAATATATATATAAAAATATAGACAATTATCTTACACACTGTAAACTCCTGTTCATTTGAGTTTGAAATACTGGACAGACTCTCAGAAGGCTTGGTAAAGTTTTACAGTGTACGTACAATGCATGCAGACTTTAGACGGCTAGACGGGACAGTATACAGTACAGTAAAGTAGACGGGACAGTATACAGTACAGTACAGTAGACGGGAGAGTATACAGTACAGTACAGTATACGGGACAGTATACAGTACAGTACAGTAGACGGGACAGTATACAGTACAGTACAGTAGACGGGACAGTATACAGTACAGTACAGTAGACGGGACAGTATACAGTACGGTATAGTAGACGGGACAGTACAACAAATGGATCATCTTCTTTTGAAAGCTTTTTGTGGACACTTAGAAACTAATCTGTTCGCAATTACGAACAGGATTTTAGGAATATCTAAATTTGTGAGAAATCCCGAACATTCTGTTCTGAACAAAAAGTTAGTAATAACGAATACTGTTTTACTAGTAGCTTGAAAACTAACATATTAAGTGAAATGGTTCTATATGTAAAATTACAATGTACAATTTTAGTTTTTTTGGGACTAAAGACGTGGCACATAGCAACGTCTTTCTTTGCAAATAGCAACGTCTTGGTTTGCAAAAAGCAACGTATTTGTTTGCAAATAGCAACGTCTTTATATGCAAATAACAACGTCTTTGTTTGCACATAGAAATGTCTTTGTTTGCAAAAAGCAACGTCTTTGTTTACAAATAGCAACGTCTTTCTTTGCAAATAGCAACGTCTTTCTTTGCAAATAGCAACGTCTTTGCATTTTACTATTTTCTTAACAGTGGTCTTCCTATTCCACAGTTTTCTATGTCCCACTGTTCCTAATTTTTATAGATTTTTACATTTAGGAAAACTGTTTGATTGTCTGAGATCCAAATCCTTGATGTCTCTCACCAATCTAAGGAAGGTTTTCAACTCCATTGCTTTCTTTATACCTGCAGCCTGCTTTCTCACCCTTCGCTTCATACCTCAACATATGAAGGTTAACATTACATGATTTAAGTGCACTGTAAACGTTATTTCTATCGAGTCCCTTTTATTATGGTAATTTTTCAAGAACATTTAATTGGAATTCTTATAGGTGTCCATTTTAACCAAGGTTATTTTGTAAGGTTGCTTACTCACGAGTCACGATGTGCTCCAAAGAACGGGAAATGTCGTCTCCTAAGCAATGGGTAGTGAAATCCGGATAAGCCGAATGAGCCAGATAAACCGGATGAGCCGGATAATTGTAATCAGTAATCACAGATTTAAAGCATAAAATTTTTACCCAACCAACTATTTAAGATTTATATTTTTATCGTTATTTATGTTTATTTTGTTTGTTTGTTTGTTTGTCAATTTGTTTGTTTTATGTCCAAAAAACGTCAACACGGGTGAACCGATTGGGCCCAGGGAAAATTTATAATCGGTCAAAGTTTACAAGCTAAAATTCAATATTTTCAAATTAAAATATGCCCAGGTTGGTCATGTGGCGCTTCTATCCTTGGGTTTAACAATTCACGAGCTAGCAATGACGGGAGGATTCTACTTTTCACATTCAGATATAGGTTAGTCAGGGGGGGTTTAGGTTAGTTAGGGGGGGAGTTACTTAAATGATATATATTTCAGGTTACTTAAATGACATTATATCTCAGGTTACTTAAATTACATATATTTTAGGTTACTTAAATGATATATATTTCAGGTTACTTAAATGATATATATTTCAGGTTACTTAAATGATATATATTTCAGGTTACTTAAATGACATTATATCTCAGGTTACTTAAATGACATTATATCCCAGGTTACTTAAATGATATATATTTCAGGTGGTCCACATTCCGGAGTTTTATTTGGAATAACAAATACATTTGCTCAGATTCCAGGATTGCAAAATTATTTCAAGCAAAATGAACAAAAAGCTTTTAAAAGGAAAATAGTTCAAAATGAATGTCTGATTCAAATCGTGATATTATAAAATTTTGTCTGGTAAATTATATTCATTAATTTTTATTAAAAATTTGGTTATTCTTAATCGTGGTTTCTCTATAAAAGAGAAATATTGTGAAAATTAAATAATTTTGAAAGTAAAAACGATGATATCTGCCACATTAATGATAAAATAAAGGTTTATTAATTTTGTAAAATTTGAAAAATTCTCAATTTTAGGATTTCTAACCCCTATTCTGGTCTCATCCATGACTCAACACGTAAGTAATGTCATGTTTGATAATTGTTGTACCACTGTATGCTATTGTACAGGGAACGTTGGATGAATGGTACACTGTGTTCCAGGTGTCGGGAATTATTTACATAATTGGTGGATTTGTCTACTTAGGTAATCTTGCAATACCCAGGAAACATTTAGTCTCCAACATGTCGATGTCGAACATCAACACTCTAAATCTATTTACCCGACGTCGGTTTAAATGTTTCCTGGGTAGCACAGAGTGTCTCAATAAACATAGGAATTTTAAGTGACGATTTCATAATCGTCTTTGTATGTAAATTATTTTGATTTAAAGGGACTGTAAGCGCAATTTTAAGTGACCCTCTATTCTGGTCAAAAATGTGGAGAAAACAGCCTTTTTTCCTGGTTAAAAAGTGATAATTCTGATAATTCTTATATGATTTCCTTCCAGTAGAAATGCACAATTGTCAGTTTTGTAGAACAACAACATTTGAAATCCGTTTTTTAAAGCATAAACCTTGATATCTATTTCTTACTTGATCAAATAAAGCTTTTAAGGGTTTAAGGGTACCATTGTGAATAGTGCATTGCCATCTTTGCATAAGAAGCACTTGAATTTACGCTTACCAAAGGCGTTTCTTAATTTCTTATTGGGATAAATATCATTTTAGTTGGACAAAACTTTGCAAGAAAACAAAACGATATTACTAAACATATTCTGATAAATAAAAAATAATTTTCAAATATTTTTAGGATTTGGAAGCTCAGAGCTTGAACCATGGGCTAAAAAAGATGCAGTGGAATTAGTTTAATTTGATAAAGCATTATTTTCGAATGTAAGATCGTTTTCCAGTGCACATATTGACAAGGTTAGACATGTGTTTCAGAGAAATGGAAAAATGCATTTTGAAAATTCTGCATTTTTGGCATTCCTTACGGAATAGATTTTCGCTTTTCCGCGGAATTCCGCGTTACTCTGTTTGCGCATTTGTGCTGGAAAGTTTGCTTCCGCTAAAAGCCCTATAATTTACACACAAAGATGAGACCAATAGCACTTGTGAGTTGTGACTCTTTGATTACAACAATATGAAGGTTACATTCGGTCTTCTGCCTAAAATACAGTTTATAGTTTATAAAATGATTTGACTAAAACAAAAAATTGCATGAAATGTATAGCTGTAAAAATAAGATTAAAATCTGTACAGCAGTCTCTGAAGTCCCATCCCTTGTCGGGTAACATTGTACTTCAGATTTGAAATCGTATTTAAGTCAATAAAAAACTTATTCGTAAGCTTTCAAATATGTGATTTACCTTGTGTTTCCTTTTTGTCCTGTGGTAGGCTTCCTTGTTTTCCAATGCCAGGTGAAGGGGAAACAACCCCCCCCCCCACACTTTTGAAGGAATAGCATAGACCTGTGAAACTGTAGAACTAGTAATCTCATGTCGTTCCTATTAAACATTTCTATTAATATGTTTATATATTTATTATGGAAACTAATAAATAAACTTTTCAAATATTAACGTCTTCGAAAAGAAAGAGAGAATAATATTAACTATTTGAATTGTCTTAAAGAAATTCCGTTAAAAAATTCCAAGCTTTAAGGTAACAACTAATGAAGAGGAAAGCGCTTAGCTCCAGATAATTAAGGCTCAACCACTGCACAAACTTTTAAATGAAGGTTTAACTTTATAAATCGGAAAAAAATATGTCCATTCCTGCCAGCTATGATGAATCAAAGTTGAACCGTCACATGAAGAGAAAGGAACGCTCAAAGGGACTGTAAGCGTAATTTCATGCAACTCTCGAAGCAAAGATGGTAATTCCCGATTCACAATGGTACCCTTGAAACTCTGATCAATAATATGGAAAATATTATCGTTTTTCTTGGATTAAAAGTGTAGATTTTAAATTGTTTTCTTGCAGTAGAAATGCGCAAGTCTAACGTTGTAGTGAAATCAAAATCGCAAAAAATCAGTATTTAAAATAATATGCACGAGTATCTAATTTGTACTTGATCATACAAATCTCTCAAGGGTACTGTTGTGAATCGGGCGTTGTCATCTTTGCATAGAGGGTCACTTGAAACAACCCTTACGGTCCCTTTAAGTCAAGGGTTAATCTACAAAAGTTTGTCCTCCTTGGTGAAATATTTAGACATTAACAATTTATTTTTATACAAAAACTATACATTTGAAGAACTAGGATATTTAATACACATTTTACAGAAAATTGCCATTAGTTTTGACAGTTTTAAATACAATCATTGCATGCATTATATAAAAAATTGCCACTGTTAATAAATGCCAAAAAAAATTAATACTTTGACAATATATTGTAATATTGTATTAAGTTAATTTCTCATTTTTACTCTTCTTTTTATGTAAATATTATTCATAAATTCTGAAATAAATTGTAAATTTATTTTTTTACAATTCCCTCTGTTTTTCTTTTTTTAATGTTTTTTTCTTTTTTATTCTTTTAAAATTGGTTCTTCCTTTTCTTGTAGTTCATTTCTTCTTTTATTGTGGTTCATTTCTATACATTTCTTGTTTTCTTGTAGTTCATTTCTATACATTTCTTCCTTTCTTGTAGTTCATTTCTATACATTTCTTCTTTTCTTGTAGTTTATTCCTATACATTTCTTCCTTTCTTGTAGTTCATTTCTATACATTTCTTTCTTTTCTTGTAGTTCATTTCTATACATTTCTTCTTTTCTTGTAGTTCATTTCTATACATTTCTTCTTTTCTTGCAGTTCATTTCTATACATTTCTTCTTTTCTTGTAGTTCATTTCTATACATTTCTTCTTTTCTTGTAGTTTATTCCTATAAATTTCTACTTTTCTTGTAGTTCATTTATAAACATTTCTTCTTTTCTTGTAGTTCATTTCTATACATTTCTTCTTTTCTTGCAGTTCATTTCCATACATTTCTTCTTTTCTTGTAGTTCATTTCTATACATTTCTTCTTTTCTTGCAGTTCATTTCATACTTTTTTCCTTTTATGCTTTTTTACTCAATTTTCGACTTTTGTTTTACTTTACGTTCTCTATATTTGTGTCTCCTTTTCCTGTACTTTACTTTACGTTTTTCATATTTGTGTCTTCTTTTCCTGTTTTACTTTACGTTCTCCATATTTGTGTCTCCTTTTCCTGTTTTACTTTACGTTCTCCATATTCGTGTCTGCCTTCCTGTTTTACTTTACGTTCTCCATATTTGTGTCTCCTTTTCCTGTTTTACTTTACGTTCTCCATATTTGTGTCTTCTTTTCCTGTTTTGCTTTACGTTCTCCATATTCGTGTCTGCCTTCCTGTTTTACTTTACGTTCTCCATATGTGTGTCTCCTTTTCCTGTTTTACTTTACGTTCTCCATATTTGTGTCTCTTTTTCCTGTTTTGCTTTACGTTCTCCATATTCGTGTCTGCCTTCCTGTTTTACTTTACGTTCTTCATATTTGTGTCTCCTTTTCCTGTTTTACTTTACGTTCTCCATATTTGTGTCTCCTTTTCCTGTTATACTTTACGTTCTCCATATTCGTGTCTCCTTTTCCTGTTTTACAATACGTTCTCCATATTTGTGTCTGCCTTCCTGTTTTACATTACGTTCTCCATATTTGTGTCTCCTTTTCCTGTTTTACTTTACGTTCTCCATATTCGTGTCTGCCTTCCTGTTTTACTTTACGTTCTCCATATTTGTGTCTCCTTTTCCTGTTTTACTTTACGTTCTCCATATTCATAGGAAAGAAGAAAGAAAGAAAGAGAGTTGGTTGACTGGTTGATAAAGAAAAGATTCATGATAAGAATCTGAATGTTTAGAAGAAAAGACAATAAAATGAAACCTTTAAAAGAGATTCGCGACGTAATATCAAGTGACCTCTTTCTGAACAACAATGAGGAAAAAAATCGTCGTTTTTTTGTCGACAATTTTCTTGGTTGTCGTTGCTGCATAAATCTGCATTTCGCCACAATTTGAAAACATCCGATCCATCCCAGGATATCTGCATTAACCTTTCTCAAGCGTATGAGTGCCGTTGTGAATCGGACATGCACCATTTGTAAATTGAGTGTCCCGTCTACAGTCTCTTTATTAGTCTCTTTTCCTTTTAGTTCATGAATCATTTCTTTTCCCATTTTATTCAGCGACTCTATATCTGGTTTCGTATTTGTTGAATATGATCTGTTTAATAGTACAACTTTTATACAAAATTGCATATATATGAATTTTTGTATAAATTTGACACAGTTTTATATCAATTTCCCGAAACAGATATAACTTTCATGATAATTTTCAGATTGGTTGCGTATTTGTTGAATATGATCTGTTAAATACTACAAATCTTATACAAAATCTTACATATATACGTTTTGGTATTATTTTGACACAGTTTTATATCAATTTCTTGAGACAGGAACATCAGATAGATCATAGATGTCTTATATCGGATCATTCAACCCCTGAAATTCACAGGTTTCAGCTTTACCCCCTTTCATTCTTCATTTACAGTCCCTTTAAGCATTAAATTTATAGAATCTAAATATACAGCGTTACAGGTTTGATTCACAACAGTACCATTCAAACGGATTAATAATCAGGAAGATGTCGTCGGGTTTTTTAAAAAGATCAATTTCCTTTCTTGTTTCTGCTGCCTAAATCTAACATTTCTTTTTTAGGTGCAAAACCACATTTGCTCATATAAAGGCATAAAAGTACCACTGTAAATTGAACTAGCCACTTAAAAAATGAAGATTCACATGAATTTACATCGAATATTCATCAACAAGAAATCCCACCAGCTGCTGTGCTTGGGTTTAATCCCACCAGCTGCTGTGCTTGGGTTTAATTCCACCAGCTGTTGTGCTTGGGTTTAATCCCACCAGCTGATGTGTCTGGGTTTAATCCTACCAGCTGCTGTGTTTGGGTTTAATCCCACCAGCTGATTTACTTGGGTTTAATCCCACCAGCTGATGTGTTTGGGTTTAATCCCACCAGCTGCTGTGGTTGGGTTTAATCCCACCAGCTGCTGTGCTTGGGTTTAATCCCACCAGCTGCTGTGCTTGGGTTTAATCCCATCAGCTGATTTGCTTGGGTTTAATCCCACCAGCTGATGTGTTTGGGTTTAATCCCACCAGCTGCTGTGGTTGGGTTTAATCCCACCAGCTGCTGTGCTTGGGTTTAATCCCACCAGCTGCTGTGCTTGGGTTTAATCCCACCAGCTGCTGTGCTTGGGTTTAATCCCACCAGCTGTTGTGCTTGGGTTTAATTCCACCAGCTGCTGTGTTTGGGTATAATCCCACCAGCTGCTGTGTTTGGGTTTTATCCCACAGCTGCTGTGTCTGTTTTTAATCCCACCAGCTGCTGTGTTTGGGTTTAATCCCACCAGCTGATGTGCTTGGGTTTAATCTCACTAGCTGATGTGTTTGGGTTTAATCCCACCAGATGCTGTGCTTGGGTTTAATCCCACCAGCTGCTGTGCTTTGGTTTAATCCCTCCAGCTGCTGTGCTTGGGTTTAATCCCACCAGCTGCTGTGCTTGGGTTCAATCCCACCAGCTGTTGTGCTTGGGTTTAATTCTACCAGCTGCTGTGCTTTGGTTTAATCCCACCAGCTTCTGTGCTTGGGTTTAATCCCACCAGCTGCTGTGCTTGGGTTTAATCCCACCAGCTGCTGTGCTTGGGTTTAATCCCACCAGCTGTTGTGCTTGGGTATAATCCCACCAGCTGCTGTGTCTGTTTTTTATCCCACCAGCTGCTGTGCTTGGGTTTAATCCCACCAGCTGCTTTGGTTGGGTTTAATCCCACCAGCTGCTGTGTTTGGGTTTAATCCCACCAGCTGCTGTGTTTGGGTTTTATCCCACCAGCTGCTGCGTCTGGGTTTAATCCCACCAGCTGCTGTGTTTGGGTTTAATCCCTTCAGCTGCTGTGTCTGGGTTTAATCCCACCAGCTGCTGTGTTTGGGTTTAACCTCTTCAGCTGCTGTGTCTGGGTTTAATCTCACTAGCTGCTTTGCTTGGGTTTAATCCCACCAGCTGCTTTGCTTGGGTTTAATCCCACCAGCTGCTGTGCTTGGGTTTAATTCCTCCAGTTTCTGAGTTTGTCTAATCCCACCAGCTGCTGTGGTTTGGTTTAATCCCACCAGCTGCTGTGCTTGGGTTTAATTTCTCCAGTTGCTGAGTTTGGTCAAATCCCACCAGCTGCTATGTTTGGGTTTAATCCCTCCAGCTGCTATGTCTGGGTTTAATCCCACCAGCTCCTGTGTTTGGGTTTAATCCCACCAGCTACTGTGTTTGGGTTTAATCCCACTAGCTGCAGT